AGGTGTTTGAGTTAGATGAATAAGTAGGAAACATTCCCGTTCTCGTTCATCATTAAAACTTCCTTCTTGAAATTCTTCGTCATGAACAACACTTGTGAAATGCTATTCATGTAGCAAGTGTTTCCTGAATTATCCAATCCAATTTTCTTCTCTAGATTTTCAGGACAACTATCTACTGATTCGTAAGGAATAACATGTTTCACAGATTTTCCATAAGAACCATTTCTCAAGCTGCGATCGATCCTTCCAAGTGAAGAAGGGTTTCGTAGAGGGATCGATTCGGCTCTTGCTTCATGAAGCTCTTCCACTGAAAGGGAACCAGTTCTACGAGGACTGCAACTCATATTTGGGGGGCAAGAATGACCTGAGTCCACTGACCGCACTGAAAAAGAAGAAGGTGGATCAATCACGGAAAACTAAATACCATTTTTTTTATCTTATTTTGTTAATAACAATTGCAATTTTTACTTGCACCAAAATGTTTCTAGAGGTGATTCCGATTCGAATGAGCTATCGCTCATATTTTTAGGACCTTTATCTCTATTTTTCATGTTTTTGAACGTGTTGATTACACTACTAGATTACTTTCGGGCTCATTTTCGAGGCTGAACTCTCCGAAACAAAATTTCGCACATCAACGTCGAACAGTGCGTTCAATAACAGTATCATTGCCAAATGTCTGGTAAACTTTTTGTGTTGTTTAGGTAGCGCTTTGGTTCAATTTGAGTTCGTATAAAAAATTGACCAACGACATTATATAGTAAAAAGCTGAGATAAGGCAAAAAATTCAAATTCAGAAAAACATCAATGCATAGAGAATGAAATTCTCTATCGATTAGTATATACCACAGTATATATACACTTATTGAGATGTGGAACTACAAAAACACATGACATTAAAACGGGCAAACCTTTTGGAACAATCTTATACATGCAAATAAACTCAGTGGAAGTTTATTCAGACTTCCAAATCTGAATTAGATCACAAATCCTAGGTTTTTTGGCTTGGAATATAAGATGAAATGTTCTGAAGTCATATATTGCTTTACTGCTTTATTCGTCATTATTTTTGAATTCCAGAACATCGGCTGCAGATGCACATCTTCACCGGCAGCAGGAGGTTGCATATCTTATGAGGATCTAGAAGTGATTCCGAATTGGAATGAAAGTAACCAGGTTCAATTCAATGCCACGAAAACTCAAGGCATCGGTTTTCTCCAAAAATATGAATGTTTCCGAACCGGATATAATAATGTCAGGTCAGACAATTCTGCTTACTTCTTCGATAAGTTTGTCGAGGGTTAAATTGGACATCAATATGTTTAGGCACAATCGTGTCGCTGAAATGGCAAAGACTGCTCCACAAAAGCTTGGAACATTGATCCAAACCAGAAAACTGTACACACCGCAGAAACTTTTGATGCTATATAAAGCTCAGATCAGACCTTCTTTAGAGTGTTTTTCTCATGTATAGAGCTCCGCCCCCAAACATACCCTGAAGCTGCTGGGTTCTATAGTGACTTGGCACATTTGATTCCACCAAGAGCGTATATATCAGAAATACACAACGGACAATGGTTACTCATCGTTTTGAGGTTCAACTCACTACACCTCGAACTTCACTTTGGATGACCGTTGTTCCGATGTTACAAAGAGGGTTATTCAGTCTATAGTGATCTCCTCTGCAGGCTCAGAGTCAGATTATCTGGTTGCTTCGTGGTTCATAGTTCTACAACTATCTTCGTTAACAAGGATTATAGCAGAGCCCCGCATTATCGTAACAGAGCTTTCTATAATAAGAGGCGCCGGATATCTCGAAGGTTCCATTATTGACACTAAGAGGCCTCATACTCATACATCCTTTCGGTAAGAACAAACACCTCAGAATGAGGCGTCATTGAGGAGGGATATCTCGTCAGGGATATTGTAATGCCCCCATTGCAGAGCGTTACGGGTGATTCTCTAAGGTGGCTTACACCTATAACTTTTTTATTATTGGAGATAGAGAAACGAAATGTTGGGGTTGTGTATTATAGTTCAACTTATATATTTTCATATATTTACTTGCTTTGCCGTACTTCCGGTTTAACCG